CGTTATTGATTCTGTGCATCCCCCACTTTGGGATGGGAAACCGTTCTCCTCCAAGAATACCCTCCTTTCTCTCTATGGCGTATTACCTTCCCGACTTTCCTGCAAGTACATTTGGCATAAGGCCCAAACTCCTAAACTCCGAATCTTCCAATGGAAAGCATTCATGTGCTGCCTACCCTTCCCTGATTTAACCAAGCGCTTCAGCTCCTGTCTCCCCAGCCAATGTCCGCTATGCAAGCAAGCAGAAGATTCCATAGATCATACTCTCGGAAATTGCAGGTTTGGTTACCAGGTCTGGAAGTACTTTGGCAATCTCATCGATGCTCCCATGTCAGCTCCCAACCTCAAACTTAGCCAAATTTTCATCAGTTGGTGGTTCTCAGGTGATACGTTCTCCTTCAAAGGGATTCTACGAGTCATTATGCCCGGTGTCATCGCTTGGCACCTCTGGAAGGCAAGGAACTTAGCAATTCATGAAGGCCATATCCACACCAAGGAGGGTATCATCCAACAGTGTTTTAAACATATTCAAGCATGGTGCTGGGCTTCACGACGCAAAAAATGGCTGATCCATGATAACACCTTCAGGGGTTGGGGTTTAGATTTATTTTGGATTAATGGTAGCAAGCTTTTGAATGTGGTGTAGTTAGGCCTTTTTTCCCTCTTTCTTGTACTTCCTCCTTTTCTCTCCTTTTAATAAAGCCTCTTTTTGTTAATATATATATATATATATATATATGTATATATATATATATATACATATATATGTATATATATATATATATACACACACACACACATGGAAAACACTAGCGGCGTTCAGGAGCTCTCTTCTCTGGCGTTTACGCCGGTATCTGCCTCAACTGCGTCCATTAGAGGACAGAACAGGCTGTTCTCGGAAGTAGTTGCAAAGGGTGTGCAGGCTAGAGCACTGGAAGGGAAGGTTACGGGATACCAGAATGGAATTCCATATGTGACTTTTACGAAAAACGACATCTCTGAATTATCAGTGCGTTTCAAGCATGCGTTGGTGGCTACGTTCAAGACTTGCCCGCCCTTCTCTACAATGAAATCATTTATGCAGAAGCTTGGTCTCCTTGGAGATTTCAACGTCACCATCTTATCAACCAGGAGTTTCCTCTTGAATTTTCAAAGGGAGGAGGATTATGTGAGGATATTTTTACGACGAGTATGGAGGGTTTATGGGCAAGATATGACAATTACAAAATGGAGCCCCTCCCTATCTTCTAATGTTGATAACCCTATTCTTCCTATTTGGATTGCTTTCCTAGATTTGCCAATCCGTCTGCATGATAAACAGGCTTTACATCTTTTGGCATCCTCGATTGGTCACCCCTTGCAAGTTGACTCTTGTACGTTAAATTTCTCCAGGCCCCAACTTGCACGTTGCTGTGTGGAGGTTGATATCTCTCACTTGCCTCCTGCAAAGATTCACGTCCAACATGTGGAGGAGGATATGTTCCTTGACTTCTACTATGAAAACGTACCTTCTTATTGCATGGATTGTGGGAAGATTGGTCATCCAAAGGAGAGGTGCCCACTAGGGCAAAACAGGCAAGATGCAAGGCCTAAGGATGTGAAGACAGATACTGCATGGCAAGTGGTTACTTGTAAGAAAGGGAAGGCCAAGATGGTCAAGAAGCCAGAAATTGTTTGGAAAGAAAAACCTTATCAAACTTCCATGCAACTTGTGCAGTGGTCTGAAGGTCCGGGTGAGTCTTCCATGGTGAGAGAGAATAGTGTGGCTGCGGACTCCGACGTTCAGCCTCTACTTCCACAGGGAATTTTTACTATCTCTGATCCCACTCTATTGTCTGCCTTCACGATGCACAAACTTTTTTCTCCCACACCTTTGGAGGTTAAAGAGGACTGCTTGGCAATTATTCCTTATGAGGACTGTTTGAAGGAACTCCCAGAAGATGCAGAACCTGATGTGGGTTTCTATATGGATGGGGGTGATATTGATTCAGTTTGCCATTATCTTGAAGAATTTCCTTCTTTGGCTAGCCCCTCTCCAGATCTGGTTTCCTCTAAGCTTTCTAAAAGCTCAAAACCAAGGGAGCGTAGCCATGCAATGGTAACACGACGAATGGCTTCAAATAGATTTTCTGTGCTTTGTTCTCCATGATTGGTTTGTTTTGGAATAATAGGGGTGTACATTCTTCTCTTCCTCGTCTTATTTACCTTATTAAAACATATAAGTTGCAGTTTATCTCTATTTTGGAGCCTTTGGTGGATCTTGATAAAATTGAATGGTATAAATTGAAACTTGGATTTTCAAAGGGTTTTTCTGCTCTTAATAACAAGCTTTGGTTTCTTTGGAAGGATGATTACCTCTCCCTTCATACTATTATTCAAGAGTCTCAGATCCTTACTTGTGGATTTAAGCATGCTGCTTCCTCTTCATCTGTTTGGATTTCAAGCGTGTATGGTTTGCATACCAGATTTGATAGAGAGGATCTCTGGCTGTCTCTTAGAACTCTTTTTCCTAGGTCTGGTCCTTGGATTGTTGGGGGTGACTTTAACACTGTTGCCTCTCTCTCAGAGCACAAAGGTGATGTTTGTCCAGATCTTGGAGGAATAGGGGATTTTGCTCAGGTTATCTCTGAGTGTGAGCTAGTGGCTCCTCCTTTTCTTGGGAGTGAATTCACTTGGACTGGTAAAAGGGGTCGGGGGAGAGTCTTTAGGAGGCTTGATAGAGTCTTAGTGAATGAATCATGCCTGGATTCTTTTCCAGTAATTGAGATCAGACATCTTGGACAAGGACTTTCAGATCATAGGCCCCTTCTTTTCAAATCACTTTCCCACCATGTGGTGGGCCCTAAACCTTTCAGATTTTTGAATGTATGGTGCTCACATACTTCCTTTAAGGACTTTGTTGCTAGCTCCTGGGGAAAGAGTTATCAAGGAGGGGGTATGAGGGGTCTGGCTTTCAAATTGGCTACTCTGAAGAGGGCACTTCTTCAGTGGAACAAAGAAGTATTTAGGAATATTTTTGATGCAGTTTCTAAGGCACAGGAAAGGCTGTTGAGGGCGGAAGATACTCTAGAAAGGGATGATTGTGAAGAAAATGTGGTGGCATGTAATTTGGCTAGGGCTTTGTTGCAACAGGCTCACAAAAAGGAGGAAATGTTCTGGTCCCAGAAAGCAAATGTTAGGTGGATTTCTCAAGGGGATGCCTCAACTGCATTCTTTCATTCTTTGGTCAAGGGAAGGAGAAATAGACTTTTCATTTCTTCTCTAAAGAATACAGCTGGTTGTATGCTTTCCTCTCAAGAAGAAATAGCTAAGGAGGCTGTTTCTCATTTTACTAGGGTTTTTTCTACTGTCCATGAGGGTGACATGGGTGAGGTACTTAGTCATATTCCCTTCTTGCTCTCTAAGCAAGATAATGATATGCTTGGGAGACAGCCAGATGAGGAGGAGGTTAGAAAGACTATTTGGGCTTTGAATGCAAATAGTGCTGCTGGTGCTGATGGGTTTAATGGTTTTTCTTTAGACAGGTTTGGGACATTATAAAGGTGGATGTCTCTAAAGCTGTGCAGGAGTTCTTTTTGGGTATCCCTTTGCCCAGGGTTTTTGGGAGTACTTTGATCATCCTTATTCCAAAAATTGAGGGTGCTATAACTCTGGATCAGTTTAGGCCCATTTCTCTTTCTACCTTTTTCAGCAAGATCCTTTCCAGGATACTCAGTGATAGACTGAAGATAGTCCTTCCCACTCTTATCTCCCCAGAGCAGGCTGCTTTTCAGCAAGGAAAAAGTATTAATGAACATGTTCTGATGGTTAAAGAGATGGTGCATTTGCTATCTGCAAATACTAAAGGTGGAAATTGTATCATCAAGCTTGATTTGTCTAAGGCTTTTGACAACATATCTTGGAGTTATTTGGAGCAGATTTTGATAAAATTTGGATTTTCCCCAAGGATTGTGCAGCTTCTAATGGGAAATCTGAGATCCACCTTTTTTTCTGTCCTTGTGAATGGTCAGCCCAAGGGTTTTTTCCCCATGCAGTGTGGTGTTAAGCAGGGTGATCCCTTGTCACCTCTTTTGTTCACTCTAGCTATGGAGGGGTTTACCAGATACTTTAATCATCTTGCTAACATTGGAAGGATCAGCTGTTTCTCATCTGGCAGGACAGTGGCTCCAAGTCTTTTGTTGTATGCTGATGATATAGTCATTTTCACCAGAGCTGATTGTAGGAATCTCTTGAGGCTAAAGGCAGCTCTTTCCACTTTTGGGATGACATCTGGTCAGGCTATTAACTTTAATAAAAGTCAGGTGATTGTTCATGATAAGATGAGGCAGGAACATAGGGCTAAGATTAAAAGTATACTTGGCATTAGATGTACCACCAGAGAGTTACTTATTGTGGGGTCTACTGTTGTGAGAGGAAAGTTGAGGAAAAGCTCACTGCCAAGCACTGATCCAGAAGTTTGAGAGAAGAATTGCAGCCTGGTATAGTAGGAAGCTTAACCAGATGGGGAGGCTTATTTTGATTAAGCATGTTCTCTCTTCCATTCCTTTGCATATCTTGGCGGTTCAGGAACTACCTAAGTCTGTCATTAAGTGTCTTCATAGGATGATGGCTAATTTTTTCTGGGGGGCTAAGGATGAGGGCCACAAGTATCATTGGAGGAAATGAGAAAAGCTTTGTTTCCCCTTGCAGGATGGTAGATTAGGGGTAAGGGATCTTGGCCATTGTCAAAGGGCTACTACCATGGATTTATGGTGGAAGGTTCAGCAGGGTGGAACCATTTGGAGGACTTTTATGCACCGGAAGTACTTCAGGGATGGGTCCTTCACTCCTAAGCTATATGATTCGTAACGCCCCGAAAATAGGCCTATCAGAATTAATTAATTGATAATTAATTAATTATAGAGAAGGACCAAAAAAAATAAGTAAATTCTAAAGTTTGTCAATAATTAATAAAAATTATATCGTTGTGTAGAGTTTGACTGTCTGACCCCAACGGTTCAATTGGATTTCAATTTGGAGAAAATTGGACCAAAAAGTGTACCCCAACTGGAACCAAAATTAGTCCCAATCAGGGACTACACTCCAATCGGCGCTTACTGTTTAATCGGCGCACTAGCCGATTTGGGTGACTCAAGAATATTTCATCCATGTCTTCTTCTCCTTCCTTCCTCTATTTAATAAATCCTAATTCTCTCAATTCTCTACCAAATCATCCCAAATCTCTTCCTAAACTGCTGCCCTGGTGAGGAGAACCTGCTGGTGCTTCCATTTCAGAGAGAGGTCGCCGGAGTTGAGAGCTTTGGTCGCCGGAAGTTTCGTCGGAAAACCTACAAAACCTCCATTTTACATTGAGGTAAGCCCGTAGATATATCTAATAACTAGAATGTTCATATAGGTCGTTTTTACGTTCATAAATGGTCATTTGGTTGAGTTATGTGTTTGACATGTTTGAAGAACCAAGAATCATAAACCTTGAAATTGTTGTTAAAACTTCAAATTAATGGTACCAAAATGATCTATGAACCTTGGAGAACCTTTTTATATACTTTAATTGAAGTTTTGATAAGTAAAATGACATTTCCGCAAATTGGCTCGAGGTAGAAGACGATGGATAATCGATTATCCACTTGAAAATCGATTATTCATCATTCTGCAGATTTTTGGAACAAAGCTGAGCAATAATCGACTGTCAGAATGTGATAATCGATTATCAGCCCTCTCAGAAGTTTGATAATCGATTAACAGAGTGTGATAATCGATTATCAGCTCATTCTGAACATCAGACAGTAGATTATCAGAAGTGACAGTAGACTGTCTCCCTACA